CTCATCAAAGACCACATCTCGGCTGAATACCCTTTTCTTATCAACAAGATCATATAACTTGAAGCCTTTCACACATTTTCTAAAACCCAGAAATATGCACTTCTTGGATTTCAAATACAGTTTTGATCTCTCATCACTTGGAACTAGCATGTAAGCTGGACATCCAAATATCCTCAAGTCTGATAGATCAATATATGTCCAGTCCAAATTTAGCGACCTTCCCTTCTTGAACTCGACGATCTATTGATGTGATACACTGCCATGTTTACTGCCTCTGCCCAGAACTGCTTAGGAAACCTTGTATTCAACCTCAAACACTTTGCTTTTTCTGCAATAGTTCGGTTCATCCTCTCAGTGACACCGTTTTGCTAAGGTGTTTTCCTGACAGTGAAGTGTCTTTGAATTCCATGCTCATCACAAAACTTCTGAAACTCCCCATCAGTATACTCTGTGCCATTATCTGATCTCAGATACTTAACCTTCTTCTCCACCTAGTTCTCTACTTCAGCCTTCTAAACCTTGAAGTTGGAAAAAACTTCAGATTTCTGCTTTAAGAAGTACACCCAAACCTTCCTGGAGAAGTCATCAATGAAGATGACAAAGTACCTAAACCCTCCCAATGACAGTTCCCGAGTTGGACCCCACACATCATAATGGACATAGAATACCCTTTGTCGTGTTCTGTCATGTCTTGAACAAAACTTTGGACTGCTTTCCCATCACACAGAACTTGCAGAATTCCATCTTACAATTATTTAACCCATCCAGAAGACCTCTTTAATGGAATTCATGCAAAGCATGCTCTCCTAAATGCCCTAGGCGCATATGCTAAAGAGCTGTGCTATCATATTCAGACACTGCAGCTGCAGCTCCACCTACAACCACACTCCCTAACTTCCTGTAAACGTTACCAACTGTCATTTTTCCTTTAATCACCACCATAAATCCCTTACAAACCTTCAGTCTTCATCTTCATCACCTCTGAGTCTGAATCCGTTTTTGTGAAGAGTACCCAAAGAGACCAGATTCTTCTTAACCCCTGGAACATGCCTAACATCAGTCAATGTTTTGATGATGCCATCGTGCATGTGAAACTTGACCTCTCCAGTACCAACGACACCACATGACATGTCGTTTGCCAATTGAACAGAACCAATGTCCCAGCCCTATACGTCGATGGGCTTGCGGGCCTAGGATTCGTTTTTTTAACAAGCGAATTGGTCCTTAAAAAGTTTTATATTTATAAAACTCTAGTGTCTGCAAGTGCACAGATGTACATTGTAGGACTTAGGGTGTCGATCCACATGGAGGATGTCTAATCTGCAAGAAACAACAAACTGGGAAGTAAGCAAAGCCATAAACTCATGGGATTTGGAGTTTTTGGTTAAGAATCCTGAACTAAACCTAATATAATATTCACAGGAAATAAAATGCAATATAAATTAACTATTAAAAGAATATCTCAAGCATGCCGACTCAAACTATAGACTCTAAACTCATAGGTGGCGACTTAGACTTCTCCGGTTTACTCTAATGGATGTCAAAACATTTTCAATTAGCCTCCGGGAGATTTATCTTTATCTCTTTCTGGGATCTGCATGGAACTAGAATAGACATGCGTATGATTAACCAACTCTCGCCATCTTAATCAACTAATAACACAGATCTAACAATTAACTCTCGCTCTCATGCCAAAACTAAGATCATGCATTAAATATTGAATTTTTCTGCTTACATCTTCTCTACAGGTAGCTCTCGACTCCTATAGCGACTACGTTCTTCTAAAGCTAGGTATGGATCTGATACAACACTCTCGTGGCTCTGATCGATCTTAGGCTAAGAGACTATGTCATGAATCTACTCTCATGCAATATGAATAACTTAGAAGAGATGAGATCCAGAATATGGTTTAGAAACTTAGAAATCTTAATCGATATGTATGCCTATCGAAAACTCTTCAAACAACTTGACTTTTTGGGACAAATCTACATGATGCAAAGAATGATAAAAGACATGAAAGAATGCAAAAGATGAAACAGAAAAGTTAATTAGATAGAAAGGAGAAAGAACAATGGATCAGGAGAAGAATCCCCATCTCCATCGCCTAACCCTAGAAAAAAAAAGTTTGGTGGATCTCATTACAGGAGCACACACCTGTTTAGGGCTGCTAAAAATGTATTTATAGATCCTAGGGTCTTCCAAGTCTCATTTAGGGCTTCTCTGAAGAGGAATGGCTAAGTGGGCTTTGATTTTGGGCCTTGTGGCTTGTCATTAGGTCCACCGGGGGTGAGAGTCTTCCAGGGCAGGTAAAATGCTACTTTGCCGCCGGTGAGAGTCTTCTGGGACTGGTGAATTTGGTCAACTTGTTCTCCATGTATTTTTTGATTGCACCATTGGATCTCCGTGCTGTAAAGTGATATGGAAAGCTGTTAATCTCCTCTTTAATGTCTCGAAATTTGAGCTGGATCAGAAGGTGATAAAATCTTCATTTGAGGCTGAACTTCAAACGGTCTGACTCTGAGCTGAAAATATGGATTTCTTCCATTTTGCCATCATTTTCTCTAAGTTTCCTGAAAAGAGTCTTGAAACTACAAATACATAGAAATCATAATAAAAGTTCCTAAAACTGATTAAAAACTTTGAAAAAGCATTTGAAATAAATGGTGAAAATGGGTACAAATACGGTGTTATCAACGTCTCAAACCATTCTCTGTGAGAAGTCATATAGAATGATGCACTTGTATCCAGTATCCAAGAATCTGTGTAATTACCAGATGTCACAGCCAGCAAATCGCCTACACTGTCATCTGCATCCTCCTTCTGAACCACGTTAGCAGAACCAGATCCACCTGTATTTTGTTTCCTGTTAGGACAAACCCTTCGATAATGACGTTTCTTGCCATTACCGAAGCACATCAAATTCTTCCCTGGCTTAATTTTCGACTTGTCCCTGTTACTTCCATCCTGCTTCTTTTTCTGCCTTCCTCGTTGATGATTTCTACCCACTTACAATCCATCACCTTGAGACTTGTCCACCACGGTTATGTTCTGTCGCCTTTCCCAATGAGATTTCTGTGAAGTACAATCCGTTTCCAGTGATATAGTCGTTTTTCGACTGTGATAGCTGTCACCAACATCTCGAACTAAGGAGGAAGAGAACACAGCAAAATCATGGCTTTATCCTCGTCCTCTATTTTAACATCCACACGCTCCAGATCTCCAATGATTTGGTTGAAGTTGTTGACATGACCAATAAGATCGCTAGTCTCTGCCATCTTCAACCCATACAACTTCTGCTTCAGATACAACTTACTGGACAATGACGTCGACATACACATCTTCTCTAACTTATCCCACATCTCTTTGCAAGTCGTGATGTTCATCACCTGATTGGTAATATCATCAGAAAGACAAAGTCGAATAGTTGAAACAGTTTGATCCTGCATATCGTCCCAGTCATCCTTCTCAATCTTGTCCAGCTTCTTCATCCCCTGCTGCCGTCAGCAGATCCTTGACTCAACTTTGCCACAGACTGAAATTTCCCTTCCCATCGAACCTAGGAATATCGAACTTGAGAGAACTTCCCTTCGTCATGGCACAGTTTCGTGGAAAACCTTGATCTCTGATACCACTTGTTGTGAATAAACACAAATCAAACTAGAAGAAAGCAATAATCAAAGAGAGAGAAATCGCAAATTGAGGCAAAACACACGTTTAGGATTTCTTATTAATTGTGTGAATGAATGAATAATTACAAACCCTAAGCCTTGTGTTTATAACCTCAAAACCCGAATTCCTAATCCCACTCGATAAAGGAAAAACTAAATCAAGCCTAATAAGGCCCGTTATATTCCTCAACTCGGTCTACCAGAACCCTTTCAGATACTTTGTCACCAAGAAACAACACAACTCCAACCCAGTGGCAAAATTAGCATGTATTGAGGTGGATCAACTGACCCAGGTCAAACCTGTAAAAATTATTTAATTGTTATTAGGTTTTTTATTAATTGATCCATTTCCAAGCTCAAAACAAGAATTAACCCCTTTGAAATTTATAAATATAGTCCAATAAATATATGTTGACCCAATAACCATCACCAAAAATTATAGAATAAAAGTTCATGAAAAATTTTTAGTTATCTCACATCGATCAAATATGATATAATATAGAAGGGAAAGCTCCACTATAAATAAGAGTTCATGTTAAAATAATATTTACTCAGATAATTTGTGTAATTTTTTCTAAATTTCAATATAATTTAAAGAGCTGCACATTAGTGTTTTTTTTAAGAAAGAGAAGGTGTAAAACTAATTTTCAAGTAATTCACAAGTTTTATTTTAGTCTTTTCTCTTTTATTTTTTTTCCCTTACTTGTTGGAAATCTGTTAAGCTGTATGGCTAAGTGGTTTAATTATTTATTATAAATAATTTAAAACTCACACACCATTGATGCTTGTGATAATAATAAATAATAACACACAAATCCTTTTATTATAAATAGCACATCTATTAAGATGTGGCTATGTTTGATTCCTCCTGCGATCGCAAGCGTAGAAATGTATTTTTCTGCAAGACGACCACGCGTCATAATTTTGGTGATGAGTTTTAAGTAATTGTCTAGTTTATTTTACTGAAAAACAGTTGCTTGAAACTGTGACATTTGTGATAAAACGATTTCAATATATGAGTGAACGTAGAGTATATTTTTATAATGTTTATCAATACTAAATTTTTGTTTAATGAAATTTATATAGTTTTAAATAAATATATATTATGACCTATGTGAATAATTTTCCTGTCTCCTCAGCCACTGCACCAACCCGAAGTTTCTGGGATTTGATTCCACGACTTATCTCTTTTCTTGGAATTTCGAATTCTCGAATTCCCTATAGAGCAACAAAATCTTTGGTTTTTTCATCAATCCAAAATACAGGGGATCGTATACTAATACCTTTGTACTCCTTTTTGTTGTGACTTGTAATGCAAAACTAACCATCATCTTAGGTTCGCTCAATCTTTGTCATTCCAAGTTGTGATTCCATAGGAGGTAGGTTGATACTCTCGTGGAAAAACAGATTCACAATGTAGAGATTATAACAAGGATCTTGCATCAAATGCCAACTTCCATAGGTTGCCTTACAAACACTCTTTGAGAATTTCAAACCCAGATCTTGCGTTTAGCAAAGTTTTTCTCTTTTCTCAGGATTGAACAACGTGCAAGACCTGTTGTCTCGAGGCAGAGTGCCAAGACGAACAGACAGACTTAGCTCGTTGGAAATCAGCAAAGCTAAGACGTTCGAAAACCGAATTCACGAGATCTTGAGGAAGCTCCAACCAGGAATTGGACACATCTTGTCTGACACGCTCATGAGGATTAGGGTTTAGCTTCTTCTCCATGACTAATTGAGAGAAACAGAGGAAACCTCTGTTGCAATAATCTCTGATCTTATATAGGTCGTTTTTTATTCCTTTTAAAGTTGGGCTTCTATGCCCCACTCTATAAAGACTAGAATTGGAAGAAGTAAACATCATTTCTTGGACTTGTAAAAAGGAGTGAATTCATAATACAAAATCATATCAAAAGTGAAAAGGAAAGAAAAGAGAACCCTAATCTCATCTTCCTCTTTGATTCTCTCTTTCTCTCAAAACCATGGATCCATCTCTTTATGTTTCCAATGATCCTCACCATCCTCACCACCCTCCTTACTTCCAAGTAAACTCTCGTCTTGGTCTACGTAACCGAGAAAACCCTTTTATTCTACCTAATACGGACTAGATTTTTTTTTTTTTGTATGTTCATGTATGGGTATAGATGATTAGCATGGAGATTGCGGCGTGAAACGAACTGTAAGTTATAAGCAAAGAGTCAATTTCGAGGTATATTGAGCGAAATTACACCGGTTTGCCTCCTGATCACAATACTTTGCTGACACGCCATCTCAAGACCTTGAAGAAGAGTCGGATTGTTGTGGTGAAGAAATCCTACAAGTTCGCTGATTCTCCAGATCCTGTTAACACCATCAGTGATCAATATCGTCTTGATCACGCGGGTGTTTCGGCTACTCAGCCTCAACATAACCGAGGAGTTCTTGGTCCAACTCCAAGAACTAAATCCGAAGCTCAACAGTCAGCTATGTTCAACCTAGAGCCGTCCATGAGCGACTACACATCTGAAATTCCAATTGACACTATCACTAGCTAATGTGCTTTGATATATCTATTTTTTTAAAACCCAATACTAAGTTGTGATCAAATTTTATTTTTGGGTTTGTTTCTTGCGTTTTTCCTCAGGGTGTGTTGTACCTTGTGGTGATTTGTCGGGTAGACCACAATGTGCTAATCGTTGGATATGGAACATCATCAGAAGAAGGAGACTATTGGCTTATTCGTAATTCCTGGGGACCAGGGTGGGGAGAAGGTGGATACCTTGGGCTCCAACGTAACTTCCATGAATCAATAGGAAAATGTGCAGTCGCAGTAGCGCCTGTATACCCAATCAAGTCGATCTCATCATCTAATTTGTTGTCTCCAAGTGTGTTTAAATTGCTTATTTTTCAGTTTATTAGTTTAGCCTTGCTTTGAGATAGACCTTATCGATGTAAAGCTCTATTGATCTTCTCGGTTTCGGGTAAGTAGAATCTTTTGCTGTTTCTTGTACGTTAGTTTTTGGATGATTAATGAAAACGAGATTCGTCTGAAACATCTTCCTTGTACTAAGCTCTCATTTTAGCTCCACGAGATCTTTATGACGAGAACATCAAGGTTCTTTAGGACCATTATAGCTTTCTTGTCTTTCACGGTTTAACTTGATGCAACATTTAGTCAGATCCTCTCAAAGGTTTTTTCTGGATTATTATGGCTTTCATGTTCTTAGTTTCATTATTCAGAAAGATAAAAAGAGATTTCTTTTTTGATTTAAAGAAAAGAAAGAAAAGAATTATCTCCGTTCAGTTGTTGATAGGAAAATAAATGAAAGATCAATTTTCAATTCATCATCTTCTCAGTGTAAGTTTTCAGTTATGAAGTGTTTAAACTTAAAAAAAAACATTAGTACTCGCCGTATAAATCTAATAAAGATACTGGATGTTTGGTGTTTATGACACAGATTTTTGATCTATGTCTGGTGCTTATGATAAAAAAATTTCTCATGGACTCAAGGATTTTTGATACCCTCTATATCAAGGTTCTCTAGAATCCTAGCTTTTTTGTTCATGCTTTAATTTGCTGCAACATTTAATCAATATCCTCTCAAGGATTTTTCTTAGGGATTAGTCAAGGCTTTCATGTTCTTTCACAGAATTAATAAATAATTAAAAAGAGTTTTGTCTCCTTCTTTGTGTTATTGATAGGAAAATATATAAATATGAATTGGAAGGACTTCCAAGAAACATTGAAGACGACGACGAGTTATTGCTTGGAAAGATGGGGTGGGTAAACAAGCCACTATGATATTATTACAGAGGAGAAGCTACGCAACTACTAAAGATGTTAACATTGATATAATAATCACTTCATACCCTATGTCCGGCATGAGTTGGCCCAAGGCCCTCACAGTTGCATTACTTGAGAGGTTAGTGGATGGTTTTCAGAGCAACCCTATATTAACTTATGACTTGCCCTCACATTCTTGTAGCTTTATAAGAGTTTAATTTGTAAAAGATAATCTCTGAGCAATGTTGTAAAATGATTATAACTCACGGAATTGCGACATGTATCATCATTAATTTATATAGTGACATTTGTCAATGAAATAATACAAAATATCCAATTTTTAGTTATTTGTTTCAAATAAAGAAAAATAAATTATTTTTAAAAAAAAAAGTTAATCAAATAGAAAAAGTAAAATAAGAGAAAAAACAGAAACTATGAAATTGAAAAAAGTTAAAACTATAAAATCTATAATTTATAATATGATTTTTAATTTAGAAAGATTTATATCAAGTTTGTAGAAAAAATAGATCAATTTTGAATTTTCTATTGGCAAATTAAAACACAATTTTATTGATAAATTAATGAAATCTTAATTTAGAATCTATCTGTTGGGGAAAAATTATTTTTCTTGGACTGTCGAATCAAAAGATGACACATGTCAGGCTAGACTAGACGGTCACTTATCTTAAAACGCATCATTTCAAGAGGGTGCGGTTACGAGGCTAGGTGATCGAACCTTAAAACAGGTTAGGATGCACAGATCAAGCTAGATTAGATGGTCACTTATCCTAAAAGTGCACCACTCTGAGAGGGTGTGGTTATGAGGCTAGGTGATCGAGCCTTAGAACAGGTTAGGATGCACAGATCAAGTTAGATTAGATAGTCACTTATCCTAAAAGTGCACCACCCTGAGAGGGTGCGATTACGAAGCTGGGTGATCAAACCTTAGGACATGTTGGGATGGATAATTAGCCTTCACTTTCTCCCAGAACCATGTGGGGAGTAAGGAGAGGAGTAGATCCGAAGCATAAGGGGCACCCTACGCCTGGCAGCCACGACAGCCCGACTCTCAGTATCAGGGAGTTTGGCCCAGGTATGTAAATTATTTAGGCAGGAATAGTCTTTTTAACTTAAACTTTCCCGCCAATTGTCAATCAGAATATATTTAACTTTTATCAATGATTCTGGTAATTTACAAACATGCATTTAATGCCTTATGCTTACACCTGACAGGAGAAAGTGACGATACTCTGGGTATAGGAAAGAGCAACCACTACAAGAAAAACACCGTTTTACAACGGCCAAAATCGTCGCTAGTTCGTCATAATAGAGCTATTACGACGAACTATTACGACGAACTAGCGATGATTTTTAAATTGTCGTAAATTCATCGTCGTAATAGATAAAAAGTCGTGAAATCGTCGTAAAATCGTCGTATAATCTACGACGGTTTATATTCGTCGTAACATCGACGTAAAAAGATCATCGTAAACGCGTCGTAAAGCTTACGACTACTTTACATCGATTTGCCTCGATTTGGTATACAGCGAAACCATCGTAAAATCGTCGTTAAAAATCGACGTAAGATCGTCGTATAATATACGACACAAGTTTCGTCGTAATTCAATCGTAAAAGTTTTTATCATTTCGTCGTAAAACCGTCGTAAAACCGTCATAAAACACGGACGTATATTCGTCGTATAAGACGTCTTATAATATACGACGAATAGATGGTCGTAACTTCGTCGTAAGAGTTATGACGAATATACGACGGTTTAATAAATTAATAATAAATATATTACGACGATTATACGACGTTTTTTATAAATGAAATTAAAAAAAAATTAATCCGAATTAAAATTTAAAATTAAAAAAAGAAATATTTACAATTTTAATTTTAATGAAAATTTAAAATAAAAAAAATTATAATAATTACAAAAAAATCCTAAAGATCTAAATCTAAATTAATGTGGATCCCCTCATCGTCCTGCTCCCCATCTTGCTCCACATGTTCTTTGCCGGGTCTTCGGTTGGAGGCTTCCGCCGCCTGATCCCCGGGTCTTCGGTTGGAGGCTTCCGGCGCCTGATCCCCGGCTCTAGGAGGATCAACCCGGAGAGATCGGAACATCTCCTCGTCCGTCTGCACCGGTGGTTGTCTTCTAGAAGATGAAGCAGATGATCCGATAACTCCAGCTGCCCGCAACCTGTCCAACTGCGTCATGAGCACCGGGTTGCCGGCCCCCATAATCTCGAAGAGACCGTACAACTGGTCGATCTTCGTCTTATACTGGGTCCGCATCTGATGGATCTCCTGGCGGATAAGCGGATCCGCTGCCCGGACATGACCAGTTGCCGTAGCGACTGGGGTATCACGGATGGATCCCATCCTTATAACCCAGCCTTTCTTCTTAGGGGCAACCTGAAAATATGTAAAAAAATTATGTTAAAAAGTACAATATAAAGTTAAAATTACACTAAATAAGAAAAAGAATACACTTACCTCTTTGAAGATCTGGTCCATCTCCGCCACCGTCAGCATCGGGGTGGATTGGACCGACTACCTCCGGGAGATGTCAGAGGCGCCTGCTGAGTGAGCTGCGTCTGCTGCTCCTCGATCCGCGCACAGGCGGCGTTGTAGATCTCCTCCGTCCGAGGATCCGTGAATTCGCCGTTTCTCTTCTTATGGGTCTCGGCGAAGACCTTCGTCATCGGAGAAAGTTCTCCCCCGTTTTCTTCGACCTACAAAATCAAAATGAAATTATTAATAAGACAAATAAGAGTTAATTATTTAAAAACAAAAACTCATTAATTAAAAGTTACCATCATAAGTCATCTCCCGGTGAAAGGAATCCGACCGGAAGTGTGCGGGACGTTTTTTCGATTTCCCGCATCGTCAGTAGCGTTCCTGAAAAATATAATAATTAGAATTGTAAATAATTAAACCTAGATAATAATATTATAATCTA